TGAGAGAGTGTCACTGCTATGCATAAGGTGTGTGTGAGGCGCAGAGTGGGAATGAGGGAGAGACAGAAGGCTCTCTGTCTGAGAGTCAGAGTGATGCGCACTGCGCAGTAGTGGATGTCTGGGAGTCATTTGAGTGCTTGGCATGCAGTGGCAAATGTCTAAGAGGCATTTGCAGGTGCGCACGCATAAGCCACTGATCTGGAGGCAGAGCAGGGTCGCTTCTTTACATCCCCTTTCGTCTTTGCGCAGCAGCAGCAGCAAAACAGGACTCCCCTCCCACACCGCAGCTTGGCCCCCCATGCCTGCCAGCACTTGGTCGCTTGGCTCGTCTTGCCTACCAACCACCTTGGAGCTGCATGATCCCTCCTGGGAGCCAAATTCTGCGGCCAGCACAGCAGATACCAACCCTCAACAATGTCAAAGGAACAATAGAGGCCGCGGTCGTGGAGGCGCAAGTCGGGGAGGTGCCAACTGATGAGGCACAGCCCAATGAGGTGTTGGCCGAGGATCTGGTCGCGGAAGCGGTAATTGAGGACTTCTGAGAGGTCAATCTAGCTCAAAGATGATGTCCAATGTCAAAACAAATTGAGTAGATATTGCTTGCTCAAGACTATTTGGGTAGATACGTGGAGGAGATTGCTCACCCAAGGACATTGATGCATGTGCAAGAAGGAGGCAAACGTAAGAGCTGCAAGTCGTGTAGCCTCAGGACACACTGCGAGGTTATCGAGGCTTTGAAGCGGGTGCTGCTCATAGCTCTCCGCTACAAACGTCATCACCAACAAGCGAACCAACCCGAGTGCTGCTTGGGTGAAAGCTGCAGGTCAAACATGGGGTGCTCACGCTATGTCGAGCAGGAAGAGAGTGGCGGGTGCTGGGCGCGAGCGAAGCATGCTGCAAATCCCGCATCAATGTTTTCCGCGCCGATCTCACAAGAGCGTCCATTGCAAAGTCGTGCAAGTGTTCCTTCAGGGTCGTACAAGGCCGCGCGCGTAGCGATGATATATTAAGCGGTGCAGAGAGAAAGCGAGACATAGCTTGAGAATACAGCAAACGAGAGCGCTTAATACATGCCTTTAACGACTCGGGCCTACATTCTAGGGACGAGCTTGAGATCGACAGTGTGCTTCCACTTGGCTACGAAAAAGTCTCTGCGGTCCAAATGATCCGGATGAGAGTAGTGCGGCGTCTGAGCGTGCTGAATGTCCACCTGTCCTCCCTCTTTGAATCTGGCCAAATCGTTGGCTCTATGGCCCACAATGTCCACGTCGTACAGTCGAGCGGTGAGGGCGATGAAGAAGAGTATCTCGGCGTTGGCCAGCGGCAAGCCTAGACATCTTCGCGAACCCTTGGAAAAGGCGACGAGGTAGTGCTCCAGATGGTGATTGAGGTCCTTGGTGCCTGGCAGGAACCAGCGCGAGGGATCAAAAGTATCTGGCGATTCAAAGATGGTGGGGTTAAAGTGAACGTATAGCGTAGACATTCCTACAGAAGTGCCCGGTGGTAGGTACACTTTGCCGCGCTTATAACCTGCAGCAGGGACGATGCGAGGCAGGATACCAGGCACGGCTTGAGACCATCGCAATGCTTCTTTCGCCGTAGCATTCAGAAACGGCAGTTGTTCGAGATCGTGCAGCTCGGCTTGCCACACGTCGTCGGCGTCTGGGAAAGCTGCGTCAAGCTCGGCTTGAAGATCCCGGAGCACCTGCGACTTTTGACCTTCTGCAGTGGGCTTGAACAGCGACCAAATCGCCGCACTCGTGGTATTTCCCACCTGCAACTCCGAGGCCGGTAAGCGTGGTGGTCAAACGTGCGCAAGGATCGCGCGGGCGCACTCACAGTATCGTGTCCAGCCGCCAAGAATGTCCTAGCTTCCGCAAGCGTGACATGTTTCGGAGCGGGCGCGTGATGCTTTTCGTCCTTGCCATACATGTTGTCAAACAAGATGGGATATCCGAGATCTGGATCCGTCTTTCCAGCTTCGTAATCGCCGAGCATCTGCGTTGCGATTTGTGCGAGTTTCGACAAGGCGGCAAAGAGCTTTGCATTTCCAGCAAATGCAAAAAGAGCCGCGGTAATGTTTGGAATGCACGACTTGAGCATGACGACCTCGTTGTTGGCGAATGCGGTCAGGTAGTCGTGTGAGAAATCCTTGGTGGCCGTGACGTCGGTCGACTTGCCAAATGCTAGAGCGGAAATGACATCCAAGGCGATGGCGTGATACATTCTCGGAATGCTCGCAGCGCCTTCTCCTGCTTTCTTTTGCACACCATTCACCTGGGCCGTGAGGGTGCTTTTGAAGGCGGCAGACAGCTTGGATTTGATCAACGGTGCAAAGGACTCGATCGAGTTGCGATTGAACAAGGGAGACAGTCTTTTGCGTCGTTCTCTATTCTCTGCTACATTTTGCGTCGCAAAGGAAGAGTGGGCTTCCTTTGCGCCAGGCGAAGCAAAAGTGTTGTAGAAGGAAGCTAGCGAGGGCGCGCGGATCAGAGCGTGGAAAGTCTACGCCTGGGGCGCACGGACGACTCACTCTTGACAAAGGTCGTCGAATGACCTCCGTAGATTTCTTCGTACGCGTCGGGGTCCGACACGGATACCAGGTCGAGTCCATACCTCAAAAAGGTCTGCTCTCTTTGCTGATGCGCTTCCAAAAGGGCGTAGGCGATGCCTTTCCCATAACGATACTGGTACGCTCTCCAAAGTCCGCTAAAGTGGAGCGCACAGAAGCTGTAGGCGGGGATATGGGATAGCGGTCCAAAGTAGGCGAGATGGAGGTGCTGGGCTAGTCGACCTAGCGCGAGAGCAGCTAGCACCAGACCGACCGTTTCGTAGATACTTAATGATGTTGCCATGGTTGCAATGTGTTGCGTGTTGTTGCTCAAGGGAAGTGGTGACGAGTAGGAGACGGCCTTTTTATAGCAATTTGATCATCTGTCGCGCCAACATGATCGGGCACACTAAGTTGCTCCCTCGCCGCGCGCCGGCGGCTGAATCGACTCGTCCGAACGTGGCTCGAGTCTCACTTGTCCGATTGTCCGAAGTAGCTTGTCGCGGGTGGCTGAATAGCGTTTCATGCGGGGCGGGTGGGCGTGAGCATGAAAGGTCAAAGTCGGCCAAAGTCGGACTTTGATGCCGAACGATTTTCTGCCACAAGGTCGTGCGTGCGCTACGAGTGGGCTTAGCGTGCGATGCTCTCGTAGGACACGCTCCGTTCAATCCAAGTCCACCGCACCTTTGTCGTGCTGAGTACGTCGTGCACGAGCGCCCCAAGGTTGCCTGCTAGGCGCGTGTGTTGCGCGCATTGCAAATCAAGAAGCTAGAGAATCGCCGAGTCGCTGCGGCCAACTCTTGTCTCTTCGATCGAGTAGCCAAACAAGCAGCAAAGCAAGGCACGAATGCTGTGTTGAGACGTTGGCCACGCTAGCCGCAGGGCGCGCATCGGCATGCCGCCGGATCGAAAGTCAGCAAGGCGCGGTTCAGGCGGCTGCGCGCTGCGCGCTCGGAGTCGTGGAGATCGCATGCCGTCAGATCGGCCGTGTCGGTCCGATGCTACCACAAATGTTCGGCCGAAAAAGTCGCGCTGGTGCTGCTTCGAGGGCACCCCGGAGCGCTAGTACTAAGTAAGGGTTGACGATGGATAGGTCGCGCTTGGCCGCGTCGTCGAATGACAGGTGCCGCAGGTATGAGGAGGGTAACGCAGGCGCCGCAGGTATGAGGATGGTAACGCAGGTGCGGCAGGTATGAGGATGGTAACGCATGCAGCCTTGCCAAGCTGTGAAGACGACGCGCTCTCGATAGGTCCGCTGCTGAGCGACGAAAATGCGCAGATTGAATGGCATCGGAGCGCCGAGTACCACACCTTGGAAGCGAGTCGATAGCACAGACGTGACTACTCCACGTGTCGTGAGACGAGCGCGCAAGTAGCAGGCGAGTCAAGAGTGCAAAAAGGCGCTTCTTACAGACGCAACCGTCTCGCTTGCATCCTGATCATGCTCGGTCCAGACTCCATGCGCCAAGCAACGGTGACTAGATGCTCATTCCACCGAGCATGTCGAGAGGCACTCCATTGAACGTCTTCTTGGTGGACGTAGCCTTCTCTCGAGGTCCGACCGCGCCACTGCTCTCCTCGTTCCTCTCCCTCTGCACAAGCTCATCCAGCCTCTGCCTGCTCATCTCATC